ACGGAAAAAGCTACTTCAATAGTACGGGCAGACTTTTTACAGACCTTGGGGAAAAGTACAACCTATCCCAACCTACTCATAACCTCTCCTCCGAAAATTTTGCTCCACCTCCCCCCGCCCCCACCTACCACAACCCCCAACTTTAACATCCACCCAAAAGATTACTTTAAAAACTGCCAACATTTCCCCCCCCTCGGGTTCCCATCACTCTCCGATAACACAAAATTTCCCGCCCCACCAACGAAGGCCACTGCCGGTTTAAAACCCCGGAAGGCGGGAAAAATAGTTTTATCACAACAAAAATCCCCTTTTCTTTCCCTATCGTTTTTTAGCTGGGGGCATACACACTTTCAAAGGTTACCCCTGCCCCAAACCCCCCCACCCATCCACACGCAACAAAACCCCCCCCCCCCCCTTTACTTCGGGTTTCAACACAAACCCGGGGTTCCCCCCTCCTTTATCAAAAAACCCCCACCACCTTTCGAACCCTGGAAAGGCAAGTCAAAACCTTTTACCCTGCCACCTCGAGCACTCTTTTCCCCCCTAAATTATGCCCCCTGTGAAATACACGTCCCCTTATATCACGTAAGAGCATATGAAAAAAAATTTCCCCCTTCACCCCTTCACAGTCCCCCTTCACACACTCATACACCGAAAGGGCCCCTAAAGCTTCCCAACCCTTCCTCCTCTCAAACCTTCCCAGGGGCCCCCCCTGCCCCAGGTTTAACAATGAGTCTCACCATCCCACCCCACCCCCCTTCTTCCGATTTCCCTTTTCTTGGCTATTTTCGTAAAAATGCATCCTTCCTCCCAGGGCCTTGCGCTGGGGTCCCGGGTTTGGGGCATCCGAGTCTGACGCTGCCGGGCCCCCTTCCTCGTGACGGGCCCCCCCTGCCATGCTTTCCCTTTCCCACGATTCCCCACAGTGGGAAATCCAAACCCCTACTGGTCATGTTTTCACAGAGGGAAAGGTTTTACTTCCCCCTGTGCCGCTGATTTCCTCCTTCCTTCGTGTGCCTGTCCCGCCCCTCCCCCTCCTTGCAACTCAGGGAAACCCTCTCCCCGGACTTAAAACCATCCCTCCTCCCCAAAGGGGAAAGTTTTCAAAAAACCCCGTTGAGCTCCTCCTCCACTCCCGCACCCCTGCCCTTCCCCCACAAAGTGGGCCCTTTTTTTTGGGCCCCCAAAAAACTCATGCCTTTCCCCATCATGCCCCCACAAGGAATTTTTCCCCAATTTCACTCCCACAAAGGCCATTGCCTCGGGTTTTCCCCTTGGGAAATCTCCACTACGGAATTTCCCCACCTGTAACTGGTGCTTCACCCGTCTTTCGCCGTCCCCCTCCACTGTCGCCCACAAAGGGCGCCCCATTGATCGTACTCCCCACAAAGCCTGCCTGTACGTCGCCCGCCCACATAAACACTAAATTTGGGGCCGAAAATTTCCCTCATACGACGAAGGGCGGGGTCGGGGGCCCCCCGAGTCCTTTTGAGGAAGAAAAGGGGCCCTCCGGGCTCCCATTTTACGGGGGCCCTGGCCGCCCCCCTTGCCTTGGGTTTTCCCCGATGCACGGGACCATAAGCTGCAAACCTTCCTTAATTTTCCCCTTTCCCCCCCGTCACCTCGAAGGGACGTTTCGCAAATTCACCCACCCAAAAGTGGCGAGAGACGTCTATGAATGCACTCTGACAGCTGGGGGTTTCATTATACTCACATGCTCGAATTTCTTCCCCCAACGACTCCCTACACAGCCGCGAATTTAACTTGACGAAGGGTTTGATAGGCCCCCCCTTAGGGCCACAAACCCTAAACCTCATCCCTCCTGTACTCCGAAAGTCTCTCTGATGATTTTTTCGGAAGTAACACCGCGCCGGAGAGGGGGAAATCGCCCCACGAAGCAGCTCAACGCCGGGGCAGTGTTTTACCCTACGCCCGGGTACTCAGCCCCCATGTTTTTGCTATGAAGCTCCCTGACAAAAAAGCAGAGGGGTGCAAGAGCAAACCGCTCTCCACCCCGCAGGGCCCGGCAAACTAATCCACGGCAATAATATTTTTTTTAAAAGGAGGGTTTGTAGGTTTTTTTTATATGGTTGTGGGGTTTTTTTTTAAGGTTGGGGTTTTTGTATTGGTTGTAATATGGCCCTTCTTTTGGTTTTTTAAATGTACCGGGAAATTTTTACTAGAGTTTTGAATATCTAGAAGGTTTTTAATTTTAAAACTCTTTTAAAATTTATTTTATTTTTTCCCAAAGTTTTTTAAAAAAAAAATATAAAAAAAAAAATAACCCCACCCGGTAGATCATCAAACAAAACAATTTTCCACCTGACCTCAAAATTCGAAAAAATACAAAAAATACTCCCGAAACCCTTCCCCCCCCAGGTAGATCTGTGTGTGACTTGAAACATCCCACTGTGTGGGTGAAACGTTGTCAATAAAGGATCACATTATACTGCATATGTGTTTATATTTCCATTGTGTCGGTATTTTATACCATTTATTTCCATTGGTTTCGTGTTGTTAAACACTTACAGGAGCCTCTACCTCGTTCCTTTAGTCCTTTTAATTCGTCTGAACTCTAATCATCCCCAGGCGGCCTATTACCCTACCGGGTTTAACGCTTTTCAGTGTGACCGATCTTAAAAAAAAAAAAAAAAAAAGTTTATTCGTACAAGGTAAACTGTAACACTTGTGACACCAAGTCTATGAATATTACATTTCTGTAATGCAGTTTTATAATATAAGTGTTATTAAATTAGCATTTTGGAGAAGGTATTGCCAAATCAGGAATTGATGCTTTCAATTAAATATTACATAATTAACTTAAGTTGCGTAACAAAAATGAGATCCAAATTTATGTACATGTATGTCTTGAAAATAGACTTGGGTCTCGAGACACTCCCCAGATAGGGAGCCAAGGCCGGGTCACCACTTCTTGGAAAAAACCCGGGCCGGGAGAATACCGGGAATAAGATTATTATTAATATTATAATCAAGGGAAGCGCTAAACCCGGAGGATTATACAGCCCCTGGGTGGGGAGATGTGGAAGGCATTCAGGCTTAATTCGGGGAACTGGAGCACAGATCCAATTCCCTAAATCAAGAGCCCCTCACCAACATCAAAGAACCTTCCTTGAGGGGGGCGAATAAGAAGAAGAAACAAAAAAAAAATTACTTGCTTCGACTGCTAATTCGTCTATGTTGAAAATCCTATTTAGGTTACGTAACTTACTGGTCTGAGGACAGTTTGTACTCTTGGGAAAATGCTTGGTCATGGGTACTTGTAGAAGTTAGCATTAATACTGTATTTCTGCATATATCTTGTCACTCTCAAAACAATAACAATTGCACAGTCGCATTTTCACGTGGGCAAACATTAAAACTTTTTTCCATGTTAGCACTCATTATGGAAAAAAAAAAAAAAAATCATTTCGCTGCCTGACCTCGGTGGAGTGCGGTTGTGCACGGCACCCCTCTGCTGTTTTCAGGCGAGCTACCTCAGTTCGTCACAACCATTGAGAAGTGAGGACGTGCGCTGCTCATTTACCAACATGGCGCTGCAGAGCTACAGGCGCATCAACACTGTTTGCGTTGAGTTGACCCGTGGGGCTGTCACTGGAGCCACGATGGACTTGTTACTACCGGCGATTATCCGTGATACCTACGGTATCGCTAATGAAGAGATATGTGGTGTAGCACTTAATGGGACGACACGGATCTTCGTTAAAAATGACGTCAGCAAATGTTTATGAAGCGTGGTGGATAAGTATCAAGAGACCATTATAGCCGTCAATTCAGCTGTATCAGTACGTCTACATGATGTATCACGACACTACACATGGGTTAAATAAGGAATGTGCCTTTTGAGGCGAATGAATTTGTTATAAAAGATGAACTACGTAATTATGGTACGGTTCATATGGCCTCTGCAGGTCGGTGGGCCGCTGGACCTTATGCTGGAAGTTTGGAGGGAACATATTCAGTCAAATGACCTTACGCCATCCCATACCGTCCTATATTATGTTGCAAGCATTTCGAAACTCAAGTATATGTAACATATGCGGGGCAACGTCGTACGTGTCGGCTGTGTGGATCGTATGACCACATAGCGGCACAGTGTGGTAAGCGTCGTGGAATCTCCAAATATCGCAACAGCAACAACCGAAGAGGTCGAGGAAGTGGAGGGACGAGAACAGTCTTATGCTCACCCGTCTCGACAACGGACATCTTGGAGTGAAGAGGTAGAAAAAGCGCAGGAGAATGCTTTGGAGGATGCAAAACAGCGAGAAGAATCACCATCACTGGATATAAATAAAGTATTTGAAGAGACTCTGCCCACTATGGTGGACGAGGATGTAGCGGCGTCTTTAGTGAAGGCACTGGATTGTATTGTTAGACGAGTCGATCGTCAACCGTGTGGAGGAACCAGTGCAAATTTGGGATCGGTTGAGCATCATGGAGGCGACGGATGAAAACTTGATCTGGGTGTCGC